TCCCAGAGACACGAGTCATTAATGAAAATCGCTAGTTGTTATTGGTCCCAGAGGTCTACAAAATGCAAGCTATTACCATTGTCTTTGGCTGTCTAAAAATAACTAAATATAAGACTCTCTTGCTAAAGACACCAACACTTTATAAAACCAGAGGGAAATCAGTCCCAAATGAACAGGAAACTTGCTCCCAGATGGCTAGTTTTCATAGCACCGAAGGTGTTGTGAGCGCTGAAGGGGGAGAAGAGAGATCCGTGTTCTAACTCTGCCCTGTACCCTGATTATTTCAATGCTGACCTGCCAGGCATGATGTGTCTTGGGGTAAAATAGTGGCATGGCTCCTACGGAGTTACTAACTACTTTTTGATAGGATTTGAAGCCTGCTCCACAGGAAGGAATTTCATGCTTGATACTCTAATCCTGGTCAAAAGCCCACAGCTGTGGAGCTCATAGGCTCGAGCATAGAACAGGCTTATTGCTATTTTGCTGCATGACTAAGATGTCTAATTGCCTTATAAATATTTGTGCTTATACATATACACTTGGACTTAACTTTGTTCGGAAGGGTTTCTCTTTGCAGTGGTCAACGGTCAATGGAAACATGAATAACTGATGAGTGCTAAGATTAAGAGACTGAGTGCTGCGCCCTAAAGGATATGGCTACATTTACCTCACAGCCACTAAGACTTGGAGAACATTGTAGAAAAAGAGGTGGAAAGGCAATGTAAGAGCTGGGAGATACAGAGGCACACTGTGAGTGCTGTCTTCTGAACATAACACAACTACTGCCATCATGATCGTGTAGCAGCTCTGGTTGCCTGAATAAGAACCACATAGGCAATCCAAAATTCTAGCATGGAAGCATTGATAGCCTCCTGGCCCTGCTGCGTACTGAGGATGTATTGGCAGTAGACAGTTGCTGGAGGAGGAAGCATTGTTCTTTTCAGAGGATGTGGCTACTGATAAGCTTCTCATGCTCCAAATAATGGCCCTGCCCTGATGGACCCAAGGTCATCTCTAACTGGACTTCGTTGGTTATTTTAAAAAGCAAAAAAGAAGAGGAAAAACCAAACAAGACATGAAATTGTGTGGGAGGATCTTGAGAGGTACAATTCAGGAATCAGAAGGGAGGAGATAGATACAATCATATTTTGTTGTATACATGTATGAAACTCTCAAATGTAAACATTTTCATTTAAAAACCAGATCAAATTGTGGAAATTCTGTATATTATTTGGATATGGAATGAACTTGTAGAACTCAGTTACTTGATATGTACTAGAAATGGCCAAAGGGAAGACATAATTAAAAAGTAGAGAAAACCTTTTAACAATGACAATAAGGATGACAGAAGGAATTGCTTAAGAGGTATTATATACATCTTATTTGAAGAATAAAAAAGCAGTTCTGGAAAACATCAAAGTATTCTTCAGCAATTGGGAAAATACTCCATGCCCTTGCTTATGGTGATGGAACATCTTTAAAAGATCAACTCATCCTGTGACAATCTGTAAGTGTTTTCTTTAAAGTCAATGAAATATAATAGGCTCTTTTCCCTGAGCTTAGCCAATTAATATCAAAGTCTGTAGGAGAAAATCTGACATTTTTTTAAAGCACTAAAAACAAAATAGTAGATTGGGAAGATGAAGCAATGACATCATCCTGAACTCTTAAATAAAATGGACATTAAAAAAAGTCAAATGTCCAAGAGATGTGCATAAATGTATGATCAAAACCTTACCCATACTGCACTGCATCCAACTTTTCCAGCCAGCGAGACTTCCCACCTCCTTCTTCAGTGTCTATCCCTATGAGTCTCCTGCCCTCTCCATCAGTGGTGTAGAGTCTACACCTTCTCCCCAGCCTAGAAGATCTAGCACGGGTCCCACAACCAAAGCCTAGTACCATAGCCCAGTAATCCCTGTATACACCACAATTGATCCCTAAGCTTATACTATGACCCTTCTAGCTGTTCCCCAACCCACAGAGTTTCCTCATGCTGCATCCAATCCTCCCACCCCATCAGATCTCCCCCTATGCTCGAGTCTTGTACCAGGAAGCACATCCTACAGACTAGCTTAGTTTCCTCTGTTTATCTGACTTCATTCCACCCAAGCCTTTGCCAAACACTAGGCACCACTCACTTGCATATCCTCTCTGCATGCCCAAGCTGTTCTGTCCAAATCAGAGTTAGGACTAAGAAAAAAAAAGTTTACGTACCCATATCTCATTGGAAAATACAAACAATACAAAAAATCAAGACATTATCTCTAAAACCTCTTTTTTCTAGTTACGTTTTCTATTGATTTAGTGGTTGCACATGAATCTACTCATATTTTAATTATCCCTGTGGCCAGACAGTCAGTGCCCCATAGGCCACTCAGGCCCTGACCTGGCAGGGCTTCTGGTCCTGTGGTCCCTGCTCTGATGTGACCATGATATGTAGGTTTAAATTAAGTCTCTATTGTTCTATTTGTCAATAAGACTCAGAAATGGAAGGCTAGGGTAAAAACCTGGTAGCTCAGAGAGGTTGAGTAGAGACTAGCTAACCTTGCTTTTTTTGCCTGGAGACATCACAAGAGACATATCTCTTCCCTTGACCTAGAACCAAAAGGAAACTCAAACTCAAGCCCCTGCCCTTTTCTTCCTGTGTAACTTCTCTATCCAAATTGCTGGTTTATCTCCAGCTAATTCTAGTCAACTAGTTGCTGGCTCTACCCCTTGATTTAAGGTAAACTCCATTGACAGTCTGAAGTGTCACAGAGCAATCAAACTATCCCACAACATTTCAGTATGCATTTCTGACTTCTATACCAAAAATTAAGTGTGGATTTATGTCTGAGTCTTCAGTTTGATTCCATTGATCATCATATCTGTTTTTATGTCAATACCATGCTGTTTGTATTAAGATAGCTCTGTAGTACAACTTGAAACCAGGGATGGTGAGACCTCCTATAGTTCTTTTATTGTTCAGGGTTGTTGGCAGCTATCCTGAATTGTTAGTTTTTCATTATGAAGCTGAAAATTGTCCTTCCAGGAGATGTAGAATTGTATTGGAATTTGTATTTGGATAATATTGAATCTGTAGATTGCTTTTGGTAAGATGGCCATTTTTACTATGTTAATTCTCCTGATCCATGAGCATGGGAGAGCTTTCCATCTTCAGATATCTTCTTCAATTTCTTTCTTCAAAGACTTGATATTTTAAAATTTTTCACCATCTTGATTAGAGTTTCCTGAACATAATTTATATTATTTGAAGCTCTGGTGAAAGGTGTTGTTTCCCTGATGTCTTTCTCAGGCCATTTGTCATTTGCACATAAGAGGGCTACTGATTTTTGTAAGTTAATTTTGTATTTAACTATTTTGCTGAAGTATTTACAGATCTAGCATTCCCTGGTGGAATCTTTTGGGGTCACTTATGTATAGCATCTTACTATCTGGAAATAACTATACTTTAACTTCTTCCTTTCCAATTTGTATCCCTTGATTTCCTTCAGCTGTTTTATTGCTCTAGCTAGAACTTCAAATACTATTGGGAGAGGCTATTCATTCATTCTGGCTGCCCAGAAACAAAATAATCACACAGAAGAAACTATATTGTTTGCAATACTATTTGGCCAATAGCTTAAGCATATTTCTAGCTAGCTCTTATATCCTAAACTAACTCATTTCCATTAATTTGTGTATTGCCACATGGCTTTGGCTTACTGGCTAGGTTCATGGGAGAGGAGGTCCCTGGGGAGGTGTCTGCTTCCTGCAGGCGGCAACATAGCTTCTTCCTGACTCTGCCTACACTCTCTCTCTATCTCTTTCAGCCTGGCTTTACTCTGTTAAGCCACTGGCAGGAAGCAGCTTTTTTATTAACCAATGGCAATAAAACATATTCACAGCATACTGTGGAATTCACATCCCACAGAGTACTATATTGAATAGGTATGGAGAGAGTGAACAACTTTGTCTTGTTTCTGATTTTAGTGGAATTCCTTCACGTTTCTCTCCATTTAAATTGAAGTTGACTATGGCTTTGCTGTAAACTGCCTTGATATTTAGGAATATAAATTTATGTGCATTTAACAACTAATGAAAAAGGCCATGATTTTGAACAAGAGCAAAAGAGGTATATGGGAGGGTTTGGGGGAAAATAGGGAAGGGAGTAATTATGTAATTATATTATAATTCTCAAAACTAAAGTTAAAAAACTTTTCCACATAATATTGAAAATAGCTCTGAGGGCTGGAGAGATGGCTCAGTGGTTAAGAGCATTGCCTGCTCTTCCAAAGGTCCTGAGTTCAATTCCTGGCAACCACATGGTGGCTCACAACTATCTGTAAAGAGGTCTGGTGCCCTCTTCTGGCCTGTAGACATGCACACAGACAGAATATTGTATACATAATAAATAAATAAATAAATAAATATTTTTTAAAAGAAAATAGCTCTGAAATACATAAAAAGATGCTAACTTCATTTATAATTAGAAAAATACAAATAAAGTCTTTTCCCTCCCCGCAGGTGTGTGACAATGGTCTTGCACCCTGTAAAGCTTTGTTACTTGTATTGGTTTAATAAAATGCTGATTGGCCAGTAGCCAGGCAACCAGAACAGGAGAATTCTGGGAAGATGAAAGGCTCAGTTTGCAGTTGTCACCCAGATGCAGAGGAAGTAAGATGAGAATGCCTCATTGATAAAAGGCACCAAATCACATGGCTAACACAGACAAGAATTATGGGTTAATATAAGATGTAAGAGTTAATAGAAAAGCCCAAGCTACTAGACCAACCAGTTTATAATAAATGTAGGCCTCTGTGTGTTTCTTTGGGACTGAACAGCTGCGGGACCAGGTGGGACAGAAACTGCTGTCAACACAGAAGCTACAGAAATTAAAATATCTCCATAGTATGCTTTTTGATAAGATTTTTGGTGAAGCTTGGGAGGTTTAGGAGTTGCATGCAGCCATGCTTTAGTGTTTATTGTGGATGGGCTTCAAAGCTAGATCCTATTACCATTTCCAGTTCACTCTCTCCGCTTCACACTTGCATTTGAAGATGTGAGTTCTCAGCTTCTGTTTCTGCAGTCATGCCTGCATCTTGCTTCTGTGATGAACTCTTGTCCCCTCTGAAAACATATACCCAGATAAGATGCTTTAGCCATGATGTTTTATTCTAACAACAGAAAATATCAAATATAGCTGCCTATCTGTGTGTCTCTTCAAAACTCCCTCATGGCATTATGCCTACAAACTCTAAAACAGATAACTTTTATAGGATGCACAGTCCAGTGTTTCAATTTTCCAGCTTGTCACCAATAAGGCTCCTTCTTCCCTTTCACACTCTCTCCAGCCAGAAGATCCAGGCTTTTCACAGGTAAGATTTTGATGAGACATCAGGTGTCCATCCTCGTGGGTCCTTGTGACCCAATGGCCTGAATTTGAGGAATATCCAGTTGAGTCCTTTGTGGCCTCCAGAGCCATCTTCCCTAGCAATGGCCTGCCTGCATTTTTTCCAACCCAATACACGTGACCTTGTTCATTCTACCTGATGTTGTTAAAGATTAGCTTCTGGGCAAGTCGCTCCATTACCTTACAAGCAAGTAGATGGCCTTGAGACATATGCTGAGGAGCATCCTCTGTTTCTGGGCTCTCCTTTGTCATCTCGGAAGAAAAAGGTAAGGGCAATGAAATGGGTGTTTACTTGCAATTAGAATAATTGTAGGACCTCCACCTAGAATCTATCTGTAATCTAGATTTCTATCTCCATTTTCTACTTTGGATTTAACCACCCTGCGGTTGCTTTCATGGTGTTTCTCTTCATCAGATATGGCAGAGAACACAATTCAGACATGGTGCCAACCCAAGTAGGGAATTTTTATTATGCCCTAATTCCATAGGGGCAATCGCTTAGAAGCAACTAGCTGTCTCTATCAGAGTGCAGTCAGGAGAATAATCCCCCATGAAAAGAACCCCACACATGAACAGGTTGTTCTAATCTGTTTTCACTATCCATCATGTGTTCTGTACTGACATTTATATATTATTGCTTGCTCATGGGAAGCAAAGAAAAGAATCATTAACAAAGCAAGGGAAGAATTGTTCAGACTTTGTTTAGCAAATCCTGCTAACACCCTATGAATATTAGTGAGGCAATGATTCCTGTAATTTAAAACACTATTACAGAAGTTTTATTTAACAAAATTTAAGATGAGAAACCTTTAATGAGAATCTTTATAAGGTACAGGAAATACAGCAAATGCCTACTAAGGATTCTTCTTAGTTATTGGAAATAATGTGTCAGACCTCTCTGAGAGAAACAGACTCGGACCACAGAGACCCAGGAAACCTTCATGTGGTTAACTTGACCTTTATAAGACCCAGTGCTTCAGAAATGTGAAAATACTTACAAAAAGCTAGAATAGGCCTTTGGTGTGAACCTTTTCAATTCTTGAAAATTGATTGTTTTCAAGACTTTTAACAGCAGGAAACACAGAAGATGTGGATCGAAGCTCGGCTTTTTGGTTGTGGTGCTGAAGGTTAAACAGGTCCCTGGGAAGAAAAGATTACCCAGAAGTCAGTGCTCACAGAAGAAAAAAAACAGCATGTCTCCTCTGTAAGAAGGAAAGCCACTGGGAAAACAACTTCCCTGCAAAGTTAAAAAGACACCAGGAATCTATAAAAACAGAGAGAATAACTCACACATATTAAACAGAATTACTCATGGTTGAACATAATATGTGTGTAATCATAGAATTTAAATTTTATTGTGTTTAGTCTTTGTTTTTGTTAGTTGTTCCCATTTGGAGAGGGAGACTAAGGAGGTGGAACTTTCCTTTGTTTGGTTAGGTCTTTCATTTCAACTAAAACATCTGCTCCTAGAATTTTGAAATTTATATTGTTAAAATTCTTTTGGAACATTGGAACTCTTTTCTTCCTGTTGGAAGACTGTCCAACTTTGATAAAATGGTTTTTGCTTTATCTTATTGTATTTTATTTTGTCGTGATTGGTCGTTATCTCACAAATGTGTAGAATTTATGTTCTATTATAGGTTATTGATTTTTGTGCTATTCAGATCATTCTCAAATGATATAAGTAAACTGAGGGGCATAGGATACAAATTACAAGCTGCTGATTGCTTGCAAACACACACACATGCATGCACACACACACATGCACGCACGTACTCACAGATGCACACACACACAAACACGCACATCTTTCTTGAATTGAAGGGTATGTTGGATCAGGAGAGGGGAGGAGACATCAAATAGCAAGGATTTGTATTATCCATAACGTTGTATAAAACTCTATACAGTTCCTCAAGCCCCTCAGGAGGGGCAGCACTGTGATTCCCAGGACAAAAGGAGAAATAGCAAATGAAGAAATGATAAAGTTACTAGGTTCTCTTCAGTTCTTTTGTTTCCCATTTCTTCACTTTAGACATATTTCTCTGTGCTTGTAACAGATTTCAGAAGTGCCAGCCTGTGACGTCTGTCCCAGCAATTCTGATGAGGTCCTGATTACATAAACCCCTTACTGCATATCCTTCGCACCAGATTTGACACACACGTGACCATCTTTGTAGTAGGACTTTAGGGTACAGTGAACCTAGAAGTAAAAGAAAAATTATTTATCTGTCATTATGTTTCTCAAAACACTTTCATGAGTTCTTTATTCTACCGCATTGATTCCAACTGCGCTCCTAATAGATTCCTTTGAAATTCTTTACTGTGTCTGCCGTGTTTTCTTAGGCAATAGAGAACAAGTTTTCGGGTGCAAATGTATTACTATCTTAAAGTTAGAGGAGAGGCTATTCTAGACACTATACATTGTCACAGGGAAGGATCAACTAAAACTCAGATAAACTAGCTTAGTCCTTATGAAGAATGACTTTAAAACATGCTAATAGGGGGTTCTGAGCTAAGATCTCATACTTGGTAGCATCATGTGGTCTACTTAGGATAATCATATAAAATTTCCTTCAGAGAAAAAAAGACATGTCTTGGCATTTTCATACAACTTTTCTAGAGTTGTTACTTGTTATACAACCTCCCCTGGAAGTCTCCAAATGAAGGTTAAATTATGGGAGTAACTGTAAAAGGGCTATGGGCTTACAGATTACACCTGATCAAGGTAGTGTAGTCTCAGGCTTGCACACTGAAGGAGGCAAAGGAAGAATCCAGACTCAGGAAACATGCTACATTGTGTTTATTTTATACATTGTTTGCTATTTTGCCAGGGAGACAATATAGTAAGAAGCTGTAGCATCCTTCTCCACTTTATGCCTATTGCTTTCAAAATTCAAGGGGAAGGTATCTGAGAATATACTCCCTATTTTATTTTTTTATATTTACCTTTGTGTGCACATATATCACAGCGTAGAGTCGAAGTAAAGGGGAAACACGTGTGAGTTAGGTTTTCATAGCCTACCATATAGAACCCAGGAATTGAATTCAAGTCTTCATCCTCTGCGGCAAGTATTTCCACCGGCTAAAACTTGGCCTCACAGGCCCCTTTGTAATTTAAGGAAATAAATAAATTTTCCCTTTACAGCCCCCCAAAAAAACCCACCAGGACACAGACTCTCCCAGTGGTGAGAAGGGATAGATGCTCGCAAGGACTGAAGAGGCCTGAAGATTTCCATAGTCTTCAAACACTTCCTTGTCCTTCTCCATGGGAACCCAGTACACCAAACAGTAGAGAAGAGGCTCAAGGATTTTTTTTTCTTGGACCTCGATGCTCTTCATTTGATTTAAATGCCAAACTGGGAGAAAGGTTACACACCAGGACCTTAGTTATGGGAGTGTTCGAAAAAAAAAAAAATTCCATGATAGATTTGGTTTTCTCTGGATGCTTGAAAACCCTATCTCCAGCTGGGGACATGACCTTAACACACTGTTTGCTTTTGATGCCGCGGAAGCTGATTCTCCTTCTTTGACAGCGCCCGCTTTGCAAATTAAATGCCTAGGTAAAGGTAACTTCTCCCCCTGCAACTAGAAATGCAAGTTATTCTGGAATGGCTCAGTGGTTAAGAGCATTGCCTGCTCTTCCAAAGGTCCTGAGTTCAATTCCCAGCAACCACATGGTGGCTCACAGCCATCTGCAATGAGGTCTGGTGCCCTCTTCTGGCCTGCACATATACACACAGACAGAATATTGTATACCTAATAAATAAATATTTAAAAAAAAACATTCTCTGAAGTTATAGATATCCTTTTTGGAAGCAAAAAGGAAATTTCACACCTGCTTCTTCTCAAGCCTATGAAAAAATGCATAACTAGGCAATATGTACACCAGGCAGAATAAAGAATGGACATATATCAAGACTACATGAAAGGGAAAATAGGAAACTCTGCTCTCAAGCTGAATTAGTATCTGCTAACGCAGGAAGCCCAAAATGGTATATAGCTGGTCTCTGAATCAAATAATTTTAAATGCTATATGATTAGTATCCTCTAGTATTCATAGAATACATGAATTCTTCTAGCTAGAAGGCCTTAACATCATTAATATTGATCTGCCTAAAGCCTGCAAGTCATAAATAAAATTGTTCAGAATCTCCACTGGTGGTTTTAAGCACTAATACTTTTCTAGCTAATGTCCTGGAATCATATTAGAAATTCGGGATCAACCTGCCCCAGGACCCAGCAATACCACTCTTGGGAATATACCCAAGAGATGCCCTATCATATGACAAAAGCATTTGTTCAACTATGTTCATAGCAGCATTATTTGTAATAGCCAGAACCTGGAAACAACCTAGATGCCCTTCAATGGAAGAATGGATGAAGAAAGTGTGGAATATATACACATTAGAGTACTACTCAGCGGTGAAAAACAATGACTTCTCGAATTTTGCATGCAAATGGATGGAAATAGAAAATACTATCCTGAGTGAGGTGTCCCAGACCCAAAAAGATGAATAGGGATGTACTCACTCAAAATTGGTTTCTAGCCATAAATAAACGACATTGAGTCTATAATTTGTGATCCTAAAGAAGCTAAATAAGAAGGTGAATCCAAAGAAAAACATATAGTTATCCTCCTGGATATGGGAAGTAGACAAGATTGCCGAGCAAAAATTGGGATCTTGGGGGTGGGGTGGGATAGCGGTAATGGGAGATGGGGAGAGAAATGTGAGAAGGGGAGGATGGGGGAAACTTGGGGAATTGGGATGGTTGGGATAAAGGAAGGATGGATATGGGAGCAGGGAAGCATATATCTTAATTAAGGGATCCAGTTTAGGGTGGGCAAGAGACCTGAACCTAGAGGGGCTCCCAGGTGCCCAGGGGGAATGTCCCAAGTTAGTGCCAAGATAAAAAAAAAAAAAAAAGAAATTCTTGGTGCTCCCTCCAAAGGGCTTCCTCTTCCGTTTGCTGTTGGAAGAACAGCCTCCATTTTTATCTGTTTCTGAATGGAAATCCCTTGACATGGTATCCTAGAACAATTTCATTAGATTACGCTCCCGTGTAGGTTAAAAATTACCCCCATTCTATCTAGAAAATCTGTGGCTACAAACTTGCATTGCCTTTGAGTAAACAGAGGCATTAATATTTCAATATGTGGATGACTAATTGATTGCCAATATCACATATTAATTGTGTGTTATCATGAAGGTACTGAATCTTCTGAATGAGGGTAAATATATAGCA